TCCAATGACAAGATTAAAACAAATAAAATTTTGGACTTCAATAAATTTCAACTACCAATTTAATTTTTTTCTTCGTTATTCTTTCATATTTCAAAATATAGTTATCATATCCAATTCGATCGTTGACTTGGACAAATTATCGTGTCATTGAGTTAGTACTTTAACCGTTGAGTCATTGAAATATTGAATTTTAGTTTTTTTAAAAAAAATTAAAACAAAGTGAGAATATATCAATTACTTTGCTAAAACTGATAATATATTGTTTTGTTAGACTAAGCATTGCCATCATTAAATGCCGCAGCGGTCAAGCTTCCAATGGTTTTAAAGGAACGCACAGGTTCGAATCTATATTGTTGCAGTTTTATAATAAAACTTAAATGTTAAAACAAAACATAAATTGACTGATGCTGTGAAGAGTCGAACTCAAGACCTCCAGCTAGTATATAGGCACTCAACCAGTTGATCTATCAAACATTGTTTCAGTACAAAATGAAATTAAAGATATATATAACAAATACTTATGTACATTGACACAACAAAATTTAATACCCGCGGATCCAGCCCGGGCGGCCGCCGGAGCTTGCCGGTGCTGGATCCGCCACCTGTAAGGCAGCATTACTACGTCCTTATTGGTTGGGGACATGCTATTTTAGATGACAGGGACCGTCCAGCAATGAATCTTCATTTCTCTTCTACTTCTGCCCTTCAGGAAGGGAAGCTGTGCTCTGCTTCTGACACAGAGAGCCTGATATTTGTGCTTTTCTTTTCTTCTGGAGGGGATTTGCCTGTTCTCGACTCAGTTGAGGGGGCACTTGAGTGGAGAGAAACGGCTTGGTCAAGGAGGGTGATACAACAAAAGCTTGGAGATATCTCCGCTGTGTTGAACGCATGTGCAGATTATGTTGATAGCCTGTGTGGAACACCTTATCCTATGGATTATGAAATTTGGTTGAGAAGGTTGAAAGGACATATTGGTGAGGAAGATAATGGGAACACATCTAGTTAACAGTAAGCTTTAATTTCACCAGCACGTGTTTTTATTTTGTGACATCCTTCGGATTTACNGATACAACTATAGCTTGGAGATATCTCCGCTGTGTGGAAAGCATGTGCTGATTATGTAGATAGCCTGTGTGGAACACCTTATCCCATGGATTATGAAATTTGGTTGAGAAGGTTGAAAAGACATATTCGTGAGGAAGATAATGGGAAGGAAGTCGACACATCTAGTTAATAGTAAGCTTTAATTTCACCAGCACATGTTTTCATTTTGCGACATCCTTCGGATTTACGGCTTCTGTTGTAGAAGATAAAAGGTAAAGTTGAAAGGAGGAATTGAAGAACATTCAGTACCTGTTTATGGAGGAGTTTGAGTAAGTAGCAGTATTATTCATTGTTTTTGCATTTTGTAAAGAGTTGGCATAGAAATGTATGTATCAACGGTCATTAGTTGGTGTAAAGAGTTTGAGTAAGTTGCTTGATATGGGATAATGAACTTATTTATATTAGTTGGAATGACAGTGGTTTCAGTGATTTTAGGTGAATAATTTGTTTATATAAGCTGCTAAACAAGTTGAAAAATCAATTTTAGGTAACCAACACAACTAAGATGAAACTATTCTTCTAGTTATTGGAAAAAATGAGTTTTACATCAAACAAGGATATAATAAACCACTCATGGACTGTCAAAGTTTTTCGCTTTTAAGATAGTGTAGAAAGTATTTTAGGGTCACTATGTTTGCACGCCTCGACTGAAAATCAAAGTGGTATTGAATCTTTTATGCCTAATTACTATTTTTGAAAAGGAACGCAAGGAACAACTCTTTCTTTCCCGTTGTTCTTGAAAGCTATTGATCCCCGCGCAAGGAATTTACAACCGCTAGTATAAGAATAGGGTACAGATCTCCCAACACTTTATTGAGTTAATTGTCATAATGGTCACTGAACTTATATTTGTGTGTTCGATTGCACACTGAAATTTAAAATGTCGAGTTTTTATCACTAAATTTATCTAAACGTTGAAAGTTACTCACGGCATAACATCTGTTTTAAACGGAATTAGCGACGTGGCTAACGAAATGCACATGTAGCGCCCATCACACCGTTAATAA